TATAAATATTTTGATATTTTAAACAAATGATTTTAATACAAATATTTAGAATTTTTTATTTTAGGTTTGACTCCCGACAATAAATGACCCACGAGACCCAATCAGTGATTCTGATCGATAACATTTTCCTCTCTTCCTGCCGTGTGAGATGTTATCACCGTGTGGACTGCAGGGCCGGACAGTGAACGCATCCTTAATGTTCCTTTAATGCACCGTGGTGCTGGTTCTATTGATCCGGGCTTCCTGCAGGACCACAGCCTCAGCAAACAGAAGTTTAATGGTTTGCAGCAGCGGAAACTGGAAACAATGAAGGTTCGTTAAAGCCACGGTGTCAAAGGTCTATAATCCCTCAAGAGTTCTGGGCCTCCTCCCAGTGGAACACCTCCACAGGAAGCCGTTCACGAGGCATCCTATTCAGAGGAACCTTCTCTGCGACTCCTAATGCGGAGGAGCCGCGGCTCTACTTGGAGCTCCTCACCTCCTCTCTCAGGCTGAGCCAACGCTATGAAGGCTCATTCAGCTGCTTGGATCCAGGAGCTGGTTCTTTTGGTCCTGGTCTAAACCTCATGACCACAGATGAGGGCTAGAATGTAGATGGACCAGTAAACCCAGAGCTTTGCCCTTGCACTAGTCTTTCTTCACCACGACTGACCGGCACACCACCCTCATTATTGAAGACGAGGTTTCGATCCGTGGATCCTTTTCCGGCTCCAATCTCCCATTACTCAGGAACAAGACGCCAAGATCACTGAACTCCTCCACCTGAGGCAAAGACTCCGCCCATCCATTCATCCATCCATCCATCCATCCATCCATCCATTCATCCATCCATTCATCCATCCATCCATCCATCCATCCATCCATCCATCCATTCATCCATCCATCCATCCATCCATCCATCCATTCATCCATCCATCCATCCATCCATCCATTCATCCATCCATCCATTCATCCATCCATCCATCCATCCATCCATCCATTCATCCATCCATCCATCCATCCATCATCCATCCATCCTTTTTACCTGCTTCTTCCTTTTTGGGTCATGGGGGTCACTGGTGCTCATGTTCAGCAGTCACTGTGCGAGAGGTGGGGGACACCATGGACAGGTCTCCAGTCCATCACAGGGACACATAGAGACAAACGAGACAAACTCTCACACCTAGGGACAATTCAGAGTTACCAATCAGTCTAACATGCATGTTTTTAGTCTGTGGGAGGAAACGAGTACCTGGAGAAAACCCACGCAGCACAGAGAGAACATGCAGACTCCACCCAGAATTCCCCCCCAGCCAGGATTCTATCCATCAACCTTCTTGCTGAGAGGAGGCAGCTTTACCCACTGCACCATCATGCCGCCTCCCCTGACCTGAAGGTAACCATTAAATGTGCATCACTCACCACCAAACGTCTGCTGCACATTTTGTAATAAATGGGTGAAACCAGCAGTCATGTTGTGATGGATTATTTACCCACTCACGCTTTCTACTGGAATAACAATCTACACGCAACATTTTCTCTTCTTATTCATAAAACGCTAAAATCTGGGACATTTCTGGGGACAGCTTTAGCCGGGGACAGGTTGTTCAAAATGGGGACTGTCCCCAGGAATTGGGGACGTCTGGTCACCCCGTGCGCTCTCAGGACATCATTACCTGCAGTGTTCCCTCAGTGTGGACCGAAGACAAAAGGTCCTTCTCCTGCTCCGCTCCTGTTTCCTGGAATATCTTGTAAAAAGATCTGAAGCTCTCGACCTTGACCTCGACCTTGGCCTCTCTAAGGGATTTTAAACATCTGCTAAATTCGTGGCAAAAACATATTGCTTTGTAATGTAGCTGTTTTGTTTCGTTTTTATATAATTTCTTTTTTTTTATTTTCATTTTATATGATTGTCACCTGTGCTTCGTGTTTAAATCAGGTCTCTGAATGAGTCCTCGTGGCTCAGTGAGACTAACCTGTAGAAATAAAGGTTGAATGAAAATTTTATATAAAAAAAACCGAGTGAGCCATCTTCGTTTTTTTTCTCCTCCTTTGGGCGCAGAGAGGTGGAGGAGGAGGGGCGCGCGCTGGGTGGGTTGAGGCGCGCGCACCGAACCTTCACTTCTTCCTCCGTGACTGGGCGGACCGGGCGGACGGTGTTTAGGGAACCGAAGGTACCGGGAGCCGGAGGCGGGAGCACCGGGCGCTGTGACCCGGGCGGCTCGACATGGAGCTGGAGAACATCGTGGCCAACACGGTGCTGCTGAAAGCTCGCGAAGGTGAGGAGGCGGGACGGGTCCGACAGGGACCCGGTCCGACAGGGACCCGGTCCGACAGGGACCCGGGTCCGAGCGCGCTTCCTGTCAGCCGGTTTCTGTTGTGAGCAGCAGGAAACAGGAACCTGCTTATAAACATGTAATAACGTGTAATAACGTGTAATAACGCAGACTATTTGTAGTTTAAAAAAAAAAAAAGGAATAAAAACCGGAAGAGTTTTTCATCGCCCTGAAGTTTGTGAAACAGGATGTTGAGGCAGAGCTGCAGGTGGGCGATCATGTTTTGGCACGTGTTTGCTTGACTGTTAGCAAAATATCTCACGGGCCGTTGGACGGACTTGGATGAAAGTGTCAGAAGTTAAACACTGGATGAACTTGAACTGACTTAACTTTTGGAGTCGAGTCAAGATGGCCGCCACAGCTCGCTCACTTTTACAGACTTGGAGCTGAGATTTGGGGTGGTGGTAGTTGAGAGTCCTCCCTAACGTTTGTCCTGAGCGCTGACCGACGGTGCAAGATCCGTGGCTTTAACTCTAAACTAAAGGAGTCAGATCTGTGTCTGTCTGTTAGCAAAATATCTCTCAAACCACTTGATGGATTTTAATGAAACTTTTAGAAAACAATAAGTGAATGTGCGTCTAACACCGATTAACAATTGGAGCCAAACCAATTCAAGATGGCCGCCACAGATAAGCTATTCTATCAACCATAAGAATGGGTGTAGCTTGGTCACTTTATCAGAAAATTAGATACATTTTGGTGTGGTAGTAGCTGAGAGTCGTCCCAATATGTATTCTTAGGGCTAGCTGAACACAGGAAATCCTGTAATAATATACAAGATCATGCAAAACTTTATTTTTTTAAAGATATGATGAATATTACATCATTCCTCAATATAATATTCTAAATCTGTGGCCTGGAAGGCAGCGGGCGACGTGCATTCAGCCTCTGAACGCTCGGCCTCGTTGTGTGGAGGCGAGTGTGGGAGCGACGTCGCCGAGCGAACATCGCCGGAGGCCTCGTTGTTGTTGTTCAGCAGGAGACAAAGGTTGTGTTAACATAATCCTACAACCTTCTGCAGGGGGTGTTCTGATCCGTCTCTGTGGAGCTCATCAGCTTACAGGAACCAGGACCTTCACACAGACACCGGATCCGTGTGCCGAGGGCAGCTCGTGACCTCTGACCTCCAACTGCGGGCCGCATCAGAACTTCTGAACGTACATTAGAG